AGACCTACAGGCATAGACCCCAATGTACATTTCATTATGGTAGAAGGACCCAACCCTGATCTCCCCAGCCTTCCACTCAGATGCACTTCTTCCTAATGTATCCTGCATGGCATTGCCTCTTTACTCTAAAGGGTTTGCATTTCAATGGTTTTGAATAAACAGCTCTCTAATCACTGTCCTCATCAGGCTGAGCGGGGCTCTGCATTTGAAAATGGCAGCAGGCATCTTTTGGACACACTAGATGAGATAAAGAAAGCCTTGATGGATTTGATCCACATCTTAGTATCAAGTCAACGAGAGTTGGCTGTCATCAGTAAGGCTGTCTGTCTTATTTGACTCAGGAAATCTTAACTTTTCTAGCGCTTGACAGAATCTCCCCTATTTCTTATCTTTGTCCGATAGAATCTAAGCCTTATATCTTAGTTCCAGCTACTACAACAAGATACCATAGACCGGCTGGCTTAGAAACAACAGAAATTTATTGCTCACAATTCTGGAGGCTGGAAGTCTGAGATCAGGGCGCCAGCATGATTGGGGGAGGGCCCTCTTTCCATCTGCAGACAGCCAACTTCTTGTATCCTCACTGGGTGGAATGAGCTAGGGAGATGGCTAGGGTCTCTCGGCGCCATTGGTGGGGGAGGGGGTTGTTTAGTTCTATTTTCATTGAAGTGTAGTTGTCTCTGTGTCTCTTTTTATAAGGACACCATTCTCATTCATGAAGGCTCCATCTGATGGCCTAATCCCATTCCAAAGTCCCCACCTTCTGGTATTATCGCTTTTGGGGGTTTGCATTTCAACATACGAATTTGGGGGAATACAGACATTCAGACCATAGTAGCTTAGTCCCCAGTGTGTCCCCGGGCAGGTTGGTTTGGCTGTAACAGAGCTAACAAGTGACTAAGAAAAAGGAAGAGGAGGAAAGCATTGCTTTGTAAGGATAGCAGAATGAAATAGTCAGACATTTCAAATATGGTGGGTATGATCTCATATGTACCTATTGAAATTATGGCCTCCTTGCTATGGATCCTAAGTGTAAAATAGGATTAGAGATACAAGAATTCGCCTCCTCCAAAGCAGTCTAGCTGACCAGACACCACAGGTACAAATATGAGGTAGTGGACTTTGATGATCTTGTAAACTTTAGGAGAAAGGTGAACAGATTGTAGAGAGCCTTTCCCAGCGCCGGTGCTGAATAATCACTGTCGTGGTATAGCCCCATTTTGTGCAGTTGTAACTGCAGACTATCCTGTTCTCACTTTAATACAATTTCCTCTGGTTTCTACTGCTGGCATTTAAGTAGGTTAATGGGACATTATAAAAAATTGTGGACGTGGGTAGCAATCTCTTCTTAGGTTATCGAAGCAGAGGGAAGGAGGCAGAGTATGGAAAATTTAGTGCCGAAAAGAGCACTGTTTCAGAGGAGATGCAGACCAATAACAAATCTAAAAGGTGCTTCTTTCTTGATAGTAGAAACTTTAAAAATGGAATTCAAACATTAAGACCGTAGCATTTGCTTTAGTTATATATGGAGAGCTGGTATCATACTGAAATACAGAATCATACTTGTGATTGAGCTGTGGCAACCACCCGTGCCTACAGAGGCTGTCGGGTAGAGTCCCCTTGTCCTGGGGGTGGTGAGAGCACGGTGCAGCATCCAGAACTCAGTGCGTTCGAGGTACCCATCATGTGAGTTGGGCTTGGGCTCCGCCAGTCCCACCGCTCTGGTGCGTCTGACTCAAAAAGGTGAAGAGGATATTTATGTTTTGGCTCCCTGGGGTATTTGTGTTTTTATCAGCCATTAGATGATCAGAAGACGTTGCTCATTCACGAATGTTCCAGAGTTCTTTACTAATGTGTCTTGCCTGCATTCTCACTGCTGGCTAGTGCCTTGGGTCTCGAAAGTCCAGGGAAAAGATGTGACTTTTTCAAAGCCTGGTTTCATATTGGTTTAAGGGGTCCTGACTCAGTCATAGCTTTTCTAGCATTCTTGAGTCAGAGCTCCACTTTTCAACCCCATTTGCCTTATTCTTTCTATCATATGTTATTCTAAAGGTGAAGAAAGGAGAGGTGACTGGCTGGCTCCATCTGTAGAGAGCATGTAGAGAGCCCTTCATCTCAGAGTCATGAGTTCAAGCCCCACGCTGGGCGTGGAGCCTCCTTAAAATAAATAAATAGATAGATAAATAGATAAGTAAGTAAGTAAAAACATAAATAAGTGTGAAAGAAGGAAAGTGGGGGAGGGAGGAAGTTTATAACTGATATTATTAAATATGTGCCCTTCTAATTATTCTCAGTGTTTGCAATGCTCTTTGCCCATATCACATTAAAAGTGTATAGGGTGTGTATGTAAAATATTTCAGAGTGAGTGTAGAATACATTCGAAGTATTTTATTGTCGCCATTCATTCAACAGATATTTATTGATTAAAAAAAACCCACTTTTATAAATCAATAATTTGAAATAAGACACTTATAATATGTTCTCCAAATAAGAAACCAGGCTACCTTGAGAGAAAACAACTGAAGTGCGTAATATAGATTTCGGTACCCGGTGGGACGGGCACTGGATCAGGGGGTTCTTCCTTGAGGAAATGACCTTAACCTGAGTCCCAGAGCAGGAGGGAGAGGAGAGAACTCAGGTAGACAGAACAGGTGAGGAGCCACGAGAACAGTTCCCAGCAGCGCTTGCGTTTTCCACTGGTTTCTGAGCAGCCATGGAAAGGCTGTACTTATCATTGGTACAGACACCGGTTCAGCTTTGTTTCAAGAAAGTAAGTGCCGGGGGAGGGGCAGGGGAAGACTTGGAAAGCCCACCGTGAAAGTTCAGAAAAATGTTTAACTAGAGAGCAGTTTATTAGTCTTTATTAGCGGTTTTTTGATAAGCACAAAATGGGGGAGGGGGACTATGCCCATGTCTACTTTTGAAAATATGAGATAATATTTGTGCCCCAAGGTCAGTGGCCTAAGAAGCTGAATATTTCAGGATTGCACCATTTTTTTATATGGAATTTTTTCCCTAAGATGTTAGTTTTGCAAAGAAAGTACAGAACTTTATCAAGGTATTTAAAAATTTTTTTTTCAACGTTTATTTATTTTTGGGACAGACAGAGACAGAGCATGAACGGGGGAGGGGCAGAGAGAGAGGGAGACACAGAATCGGAAACTGGCTCCAGGCTCCGAGCCATCAGCCCAGAGCCCGACGCGGGGCTCGAACTCCCGGACCGCGAGATCGTGACCTGGCTGAAGTCGGACGCTTAACCGACTGCGCCACCCAGGCGCCCCATCAAGATATTTAAATAAATAGTTAAATAATCAATTACAATAGCATGCCATTCCTTAAGTGGGGTACATTTCTACAGTTACTTAATTTTGTAGGTTTATGCTAAGTCATACATCTGAATGAAATGCCAGAAAGAATGATCACTGCCTTAGGATTTACTGTTGAGAAGTCAGTGCCAATTCCACTTTTCTGACCTACGTGGGTATTCTAGAATCTTCAAGCCATCTGGAGTATGGTTTATAAAGACTACTTATTCTCAAGACTTTTGTATTAAATAATATGGATACATGGCAGTCATATTTATGAATATAAGCCCTACCACATTTGTCAGCAATAACTAAGATTTTAGATGAGCTTGGTTCCAGAAGATGGATGGTGTTACGTATTTTGGAATGCGCAGCAGCTCCTTGAAATGTAATTTATGTGCAGGATATAGAGCATTCATGTGCCCCACTTACAGAGATACACAGCACTTTCCTCAGTCACCTCTTGGACCTCTATGGACGTGCACCCCTACGTGCGGAAACACAAATGGAGGACAGCCCATAGGGAAGGTCAGCTTTGCCCTGACCTTCAGCTTTTCCAAGGCTGTTGTTCACCTCTCTGGAGGTGATCGTATCACAGGAGAATATTGGTTTTCCTGCTTCTACGCTGGGTTTTCTTGCTGCACAGTGGCAGCTCGGTCTGTCTGGCCCAACCCCAGGTCCACTCCCATGGAAGCCCATGGGGTTGGCATGCAGCAGCCTGGGGGCCTAGTGTCAGAGTGGGAGCTGGCTTTGTATCTCGTCCTTGGGCAGATCATTTAACAGTTTCCTAGTCTGCAAACCGAGGATGATAATTGTTCCAGTTGGTGTGCTGGAGCCGACTTGCACCTCCCCCTGAGAGCGAGTTTATGCCTCTCTTTTAACTCTGAGTCCAGTGAGTCCTGTGGGAAGCTTGAAAATCAGCCTTAGTGGGGGTATTTATACTATCAGCAAAGACTGCAAAGCATATGCTTAGGGGAAGGGGGTGGGAGAGCAAGACTAAGGAGCAAGTTTTTAAACATTTATTAGCACAGCACTGAGTAGTTCAGGCCTCACAGGGTCTTGCGAAAATAATTAAGATTATGCTTGGAGTATGCCTAGTTATAGAAGAAGAGTACATAGTAAGTGCTCAGTTCTTCTTCACTTTCATTTCCTCCTTTATTCCAAGGCTCTTTTCATGAGCCTTGCAGACCTGTCCACCATGCTTTGATTTCTTGGTACTTTGAAGGCATTTGTTATATAATTTCAACACTGGAGGAAAGCATGCACATAACCTAGACAAGTTGCTGATTTTCTGAGGAGGAGATTAGAACACAGGAAGGGTGAGTGACTAATCCAAACTTACACAGCTGTTGGTGAGTGGCTCTAGAAGAGGTTATCAGTCCCAACCAAGGCATCTGGCTGGCAGCTCAGCCATGTTTTTGCCCCCCTGACACTATGTCACCTGCCCCTGCTGACGTAATTCTTCAGTTGCACGAAAAAAGTCCTATAAATAGCTATAACTATAAATGACTGTAAATAAATGAAAACAGCTCCCATTTAACTCCCCAAAATAAAACTTTTTATGTGTCGTCTACATCCACCTATTTAACTATGTATAACAGCTCATTTTCGTTTAGCGTTTTTTTTTTACTTAATATCGTGTATCTTGATTCAAATTGACTTTAAACATGACTAATGGAATAATTTAATTTCTAGCTTTCAGAAAGAATTCTTGCTTGAAGATAAAGAACAGCGCACTAACTACAAAGGAGGAATCAATGCTAAGCTTTTAACTGCACTTCCCAAAGGTGAGACTTTCTGTAAATGGTTGACCGGTGTCCTGAGCCAGTAGGTCTTGTGTTGCCTGATCTCCTTGGAGGGGGACTGCTTCACTGATCTCCGGTGTATACTCTGGTACGTGTCCCTTTCTGTCTATTTCAACAATTAGCCTCAACTAAGGTAGCTCTCTTCCTGCGTGTTGAATCTACACCTCTCTACATGTCCCTTCTCTTACTTTTAGGCATTCTTGGGTTTTCCCTGGAGGCTGGGGGGTGGGGAGGGTGAGCGGGGCAACCGGCACAGAGTCAACTTTCTTCATCTCTCCTACTTGTCACCTTCTCCAGGGACGGTGGGTTTTGCTCGTAAGCCCTTTTCTTTTCCATCCGCTCGCTCCATTTCCTCCACCTCTGGGCGTCTGCCAGTGTTGCTGCATTTCCACTGAGTATGTTAGAGCTCCCTGCTGGGCAGCACACTGGCCTACCAGTGCAGACTGTTCCACACACGCTTCCTTCCCCAAGCAGGTACTTGCCAGTTCGGTGAATTCGTATTTTCATTGGTAGAGATGCATGTGCACTAAAATATGTGCAGCTGTCACCAGCCAACCACCCCTTGTTTCGCCCGAGAAATGACATAAATGTTACCAGATCTTTGTTTCCCCCGACTGTAACACTGGCACAGCGTGGTACCGGCTCACAAACTATCTCCATCCCAAATGAGCTGGGTAAACCTTACTATGGAAGAAACAGATTTAGTGGAAGATCCGATATCCGATTTTTTTTTTTTTTTTTGGTCCTCTGAAAGAAAACAAAAACAAAAACAAACATAAGATCAAACCTAAAAGAAATTAGACCAGAAACAATATTCTTTTAATAGAAACTAAATCTAGTTTAAAAGGCCCACTGCTAAATGGGCGTATATCCTGAGGAATTGAATGGATGATAACGGCTAGACAAAGTCTGATGAGGTCGGATATTTGCAGGTCCCCAGGGATTTGGCCTTGTGGAGAAACTTCAAACAGGGACGTTTTGTAATTTCCAAGTACTTACAAAACTGTCGAGAGGAAGACAGGCTTACTCCACGTTGCCCCAGAGGCCAAAAACAAGAATAATGTATTGAATTACAGGGAAGTAGGTGAGATTTCATACGAGAGAGACAATTCTGATAGTTCATGGGACCTAGAAATGAAATGGCCTGTATTATCATCTCTTCTGCTCCTAGTAGCTGTTCAAGGAAGGTCATGTGCTTCCATGGGAAGGACACATGCTGTGGGTTCCTGCCTGGATGGCATGAAATGGAAAGGTCCTTCTGATTTTTTAGACTCTGTAAAAGAGAAAGAAACTCAAGCTAATCTGAGTCAGACTGAAAATCTATGAAGATGAGCCAAACAAAGAACTGCTAAATTTGATTTTAGCAGTAGCTTCGAAGATTGGACTGATTAGACAAAATTCTGTAGTAAAAGCTGCTTTACTTGTCCTCCTGGCCTAGCCCAGGCCCTTTCCTTGATGAACGGTAGTACATGCAATATGGGGATCAGAAAAATTAGAAGCGATAGATGAGATGCGAGGTCCCTTCAGGCTCAACAGCTTATAACTCCATATGTGCCAAAATTTAAAAACACATAAGTTGATTAACCAGTTTCGCCAGAAAATGTATCATAATTGGTTATAAAAATGTAACTCTTCACAAAATGAAGATAATGCCATGCATTAATCAGATTTATGTTTCCAAATTCACAAGATCTTCAAAATGTGCTTTAAAAGTGTCAGAGCCCCTCCTCCCCTGAATTCCATGTAAATTCCCCAATCGTCTTGTCTCACATTGTGCACTTTATGAATTCGGGCAGGCATGTTTGGAAAGACCCACGTATTACCGGTAATCTCACTCCTCCGTGTTAACACATCTCTTAATGGCAGCTCCTGGCAATATAATGGTAAAAATAGGAATTGATTCCAACTGTTTTAATGGCATAGAGCTTTATGTCTGTTTACACATTTCCAGCAGTTTCTTTCCATTCATTTAGTGAGGAATTCTTGCTTTTGTGCAAATGAGCATTAAAATGATCGTTGGCTTTTCTCTAAGGGGCTTCCTTTAACTGTGTATCACACACAAGTTATCCGATGACTAAAAACCTTTACCTATGCAAAGTTTATAATATGGAAATAGATTTTCCACTTAGGAATTGTGAAATGAACCAAATACATTACTTCTTTAATAGCTTTAGTGAGCTATAATTCGTATAGCATACAGTTCATCCATTTACAGCACTCAGCTCAGTGGCTTTCAGCATATCCACAGAGTTGTGCATCCAGGGCCGCCGTCAGTTTCGGAAAGTTGTCATTATCCAAAAAGAAGTCCCACACTTCGGAGCCATCACCCCTCTCCCTTATTCCTCTAGTTTTGTAATGACTTATTTTCTAAGCTGCTTGTCTTTATATTAGTGGCTGCCTTCCAAGTGTAAAAGTTGAAGTGCGTTACTCCTCTGGGAAGTCAGATCAGTATTCAGGACATTCTGGGTCTGGCCTGTGCTCTTAGCCTGTCAAATGCAGGCTGGGAGAGCTCTTGGCAGTCCCCTGCCACTTATATTTCTTCGGAAGATTCTACTGTACTTGGGTTTAGACGACTGGACTCGACGATAACTTTACCAGAAAGCCTGCTTCTCAGGGCTAATTAAAGAAACGGTATGCCTCAAGAAAACTACCCAGCAGACCAAATCATCCTGAGTATTGGCATTACATATTATTATAAAGCATATTAGGCAGTTAAATAAAATATAAATTATTATAGCTCTTGGGGCGCCTGGGTGGCTCAGTCGGTCAAGCATTAACTCTTGATTTTGGCTCAGGTTATGATCTCACAGTTTGCGGGATCAAACCCTGCATCAGGATCCATGCTGCTTGGGAGTCTCTCTCTCCCTCTCTCTCTGCCCCTCCCCAACTTACGCTCGCTCGCTCTCTCTCTCAAAAACAAACAAACAAACAAACAAACAAACCTTTTAAAAAAAAGTATTATAGCCCTGATGTCAATTGCCCTTAAATTACCTTACTTGGAAAATGACCCTCCCATTCCCATCAAAAAGAACCAAAGAAATAGACTCACAGAATCCATATTGCCACAGAAGTACCATTCAGAATTACTCAGACAAGGGCAGAAGACTAAAATAGCAGGTATAATGAGGGATAATTTAGTGTATGTTAAAGTTTTTTTTTTTTTAAATTTTTTTTTTCAACGTTTATTTATTTTTGGGACAGAGAGAGACAGAGCATGAACGGGGGAGGGGCAGAGAGAGAGGGAGACACAGAATTGGAAACAGGCTCCAGGCTCCGAGCCAACAGCCCAGAGCCCGACGCGGGGCTCGAACTCACGGACCGCGAGATCGTGACCTGGCTGAAGTCGGACGCTTAACCGACTGCGCCACCCAGGCGCCCCTGTTAAAGTTTTAATTAATGTATTTGAAGGCAAAGTAGAACATTTATCACAACAGAAGTTAGATCAACAGTGCCTATTATGTATTGTGTATTAGATGATGACTAGTACTACTGTTACCTGAACCATTTCTGAATTGTGCATATTCTGCCACAGCATATAATCAACTGAATTATGGCTGCTTAATCCAATTTTTTTTTTTTATAAATTTTTTTTTTCAACGTTTATTTATTTTTGGGACAGAGAGAGACAGAGCATGAACAGGGGAGGGGCAGAGAGAGAGGGAGACACAGAATTGGAAACAGGCTCCAGGCTCTGAGCCATCAGCCCAGAGCCCGACGCGGGGCTCAAACTCACAGACGGTGAGATCGTGACCTGGCTGAAGTCGGACGCTTAACCGACTGCGCCACCCAGGCGCCCCTTAATCCAATTTTTAAAAACATTCTTATTTCCTATTTTTTAGGAAATATACGTTGAAGAGTTTAGAGGGAAAGGGATATCATGCTGCCAACTTATTCTCTTTTTTTTTTCCTTTTTTAATTTTTTTGCTATTTATTTGTTTATTTATATACAAGTTGGTTAACATATAGTATAATAATGGTTTCAGGAGAGAATTTAGTGATTCATCACTTACATATAACATCCAGTGCTTCTCCCAACAACTGCCCTCCTTAACGCTCATCACCCATTTAGCCCATCTCCCCCCCCCCCACCTCCCCTCCAGCAGCCCTCAGTTTGTTCTCTGTCGTAAGAGTCTCTTATGGTTTGCCTCCCTCTTTTTATCTTCTTTTTCCTTCCCTTCCCCTATGTTTATGTGTTGTGTTTCTTAAATTCCACATGAGTGAAATCATATGATATTTGTCTTTCTCTGACTGATTTCTCTTAGCATAATACACTCTAGTTCCATCCATGTTGTTGCAAATGGAAAGATTTCATTCTTTTTGATTGCCGAATTATATTCCATCATCTCTCTCTCTCTCTCTCTCTCTCTCTCTCTCTCTCACACACACACACACACACACACACACACACACACACACACACCACATTTTCTTTATCCATTTGTCAGTTGATGGACATTTGGGCCCTTTCCATAATTTAGAAATTATTGATAGTGCTGCTGTAAACATTGGGCCGCATGTGTCCTTTCAAATCAGATAAAGGGACATCATGCTGCAACTTATTCTTAAATGGTTCAGAAAAGTTGACATGTAAATATGTGTACTTGCATGCATGCATAGATACACATCACACACGTAAATACGTGTATGGAAAAGGATAAACGTAAACCAAATGTATTGAGGTATTAACATGTTGTGAAGCATGTCTTGATTTTTCTATTAACTCTAAAATTATATAAAAATTGTAAAGGAAAGAAAGCTTTTGGTAGATCATAAGCAATAATGAACTGTATTCAAGATTATCAATCAGAAGATGCCTGTGATAGTGATTTATGTGGCGGTCTTTATGCATGAAACAACACAGAGGCAACATAGATTTCCATAGCTGGGGCGCCTTCCATGATTTCTTAGTATGAGCTTGTGTTCAATATTTTATAATAAACCTGACCAAAAATTCAAGTGGAGGGCCTAAAGAACACTGCAAGGGCCCAAAAGAGGTTTGTTTTTTGGTTTTGGTTTTGGTTTTCCTGGAAAGGGTCAGAAAAAGTACGCACACATCAGCAATTCAAATAAAACCTCATTCTCTTTTATACAACTGAAGTGTTTTCCCATGGGCTAGATATACTAGGGTAATTATACTTTATGTTTGTTTTACTAATTTTACTTGTAAATTACAGTCTTGGGAAAGGAAGCTTCTCTGTTCTTTTGTCTTCCACATCATTTCTTTCCCCTGTAATTTCACATCTATAGAAAGGAAGCAAATCTTGGTAACTGAAAAATACATTTGTTAGAAAGAATAGACTGAGCAGTAATTTGTTTGCGTAAGGGATTTTTTTCTAAAAGATTCACTCTGGATTTCCACTAAGAATGAATAAGCTTGCTGATGCATTTGCTTAATTATTTTTCAAGTAATCTCTACACCCGACATGGGGCCTGAACTCACCACCCTGACATCAGGAGTCAGATGCTTTACTGACCGAACCAGCCAATGCCCCTAACTTGCTGGTACATATAAAGTATGGTTTGATTTATGACTTCATTTCAGTCCTCGGTAAATAATCAAAGAGGACTGTACGTTATAAGCTTGAAACAGTTTTTTTTTTTTTTTTAACGTTTATTTATTTTTGAGACAGAGAGAGACAGAGCATGAACAGGGGAGGGGCAGAGAGAGAGGGAGACATGGAACCCGAAACGGGCTCCAGGCTCTGAGCTGTCAGCCCAGAGCCCGACGTGGGGCTCGAACTCACGGACCGTGAGATCATGACCTGAGCCAAAGTCGGACGCTTAACCGACTGAGCCACCCAGGCGCCCCAGAAACAGTTTTGACTTCGAATCTAGATGTGGTTTGAGTTTGAATCTAGATGTGATTGGAGAGAGGAGCTAGCTAGTGGTGTCTGTTAGTGGGATAACCTAGAACCTGGGCATCCAGGGGACGGGCTACCGTCCAAGGACAGTAACTTCCCCGGGGCGCAAGGGGGGACTTTAGAAACAAATGGGAGCATTTTTGTGTCACAGCAACTGGTGATGATTAGGCGTTTGTTAGGGAAGCCATGGACACTTAACACCCTGCAGTACAAGGCTCACAATGAGGAAAATTTTCACTCAAAAGGCCGTTCGCACCCCCATGGTGATCTGTGCTCTGTTTTAGAGCCAGTCGGTGAATCTGTCAACCTGATGAGGTGCACCTGAATGTCTGCTATATGCTATCCTAAGACATACAAATGACAGTGTTCATTAGTGGGTTGCCTGGCCTGTTTTGTCCAGAAAAGGACAGAGATCACCATGAACTTGGTTTACCATCCTCCTTTCTCCCACTGCCCCAGACTTCGTAGGGTTCAGTTTCCGTGATGAATGACTATTGTGACCATCAGCCTGTTCCCTTCTCATAGTCTTTATAGAATATTGAGACGGGTAGGGAATGGCAGTAGGAAGAGTATAGTTCTGTTGGGGGTGGGGCACTGGCATAGTCCAGTTCCTTCTAGAATATGTGAAATAAAAAAATGACAGGAAGCAATTTGTTACTTATCTTTCTCTCTGTACTGCTGGGATCTTTTTTGGGGGGAAGAGGATCTTTCTTAAAAAATATCTTTAGTTACATTAATTTCTATAGAAAAATTTAAAAACTAAAAATTTAATGCAATAAAAGTGATTTTCACAGTCTCAAATTGGGATTACAAAGTAGATCATAACTTTTTCCAATAGAAGTTATAGGACACTCTGTATGTTAAATTGATATTTGTATCCTTGTCTTGGTCCATTTGGGCTGGTATAACAAAATACCATAGACTGGGGTGGCTTCTAAGAGAGCAGAAATGTATTGCTCGTAGTTCTGAAGGCTGGAATCCCTAGATCAGGGATCCGGTGTGGCTGGGTTCTGGTGAGACCCCCCTCGTGACTTGCAGACCACCAGCTGCTCTTTGGGTCTCACATGGGAAGCAGTGAGGAAGTTCTGTGGGACCTCTTTTAGAAGGGCACTAATCCTACTCGTGAAGGCAAACAATCATCTCCCAAAGGTCCCACCTCCTAATACTATCACTGTGAGGATTAAGATTTCAACATATGAATTTGGTGGCGGGGTGGGGGGCGGGGGGGAAACACATAAACATTTAGACTATAGCATACCTAGCTGAAATGCTTTGGGTGGAGGAAAGTTAAATGGCGTTAGGCTGTGCAAGACCCTATTATACCCTGTTTCTCAATTACGAGTGTGATGCATTGAGTTTGAAACCTACTTTTCAGAGCACTTGGAATTTGGTTTCAATAGCTTCTTGAGCAATCATATGAAAAAACATGACCCCTTTCTCTTCTTGGGGCTTAAATAATTAATTGATACTCTTTGGTTTATATCATCCTTGAAAACAGTTTCAAAATCTGCACTACCGGTCGTTAAAGTTTCCTCACCATAATCTCACTGGAGCTAATTGGTTAAGTGGGAAGCTGTTATTAGTCAAGCTTTCTCAAAAGGCTGCATGGCGGGATGCACCATTATCATTATACCCTTGTCTTCCAAATAAGAACATAATTAACTATGCAGAGAAAGTATACCCCTGACTCCAGCCACTCTGTTTCCTGGGAAAACCACCTGAGGGAGAGACTTTTATGAAGCCAACTATCTCAACAAAAGTCAATCTGACTAAAATTTTAAGGTGGTTATCATGTAAAAATAAATAAATAAAAACTAGGCTTGTGTCTCTGGAGACAAACGGCAATATAAAAGGGGTGTGTGTGTGTGTGTGTGTGTGTGTGTGTGTGTGTGTGTGTGGTTTTTGACTCATTACTAAAAATGACCACTTTATTTATTTATTTTTTTTTTTAATTTTTTTTTCAACGTTTATTTATTTTTGGGACAGAGAGAGACAGAGCATGAACGGGGGAGGGGCAGAGAGAGAGGGAGACATAGAATCGGAAACAGGCTCCAGGCTCCGAGCCATCAGCCCAGAGCCCAACGCGGGGCTCAAACTCCCGGACCGCGAGATCGTGACCTGGCTGAAGTCGGACGCTTAACCGACTGCGCCACCCAGGCGCCCCTAAAAATGACCACTTTAAAAAAATAAAATGGAAATTGAAGTAGCTGAAAGTTAAATTCCAATATTCAGGGGCACCTGGCTGGCTCAGGCGACTCTTGATCTCAGGGTGGTGAGTTCAAGCCCCACGCTGGGCGTAGCATTTACTTTAAAAAAAAAAAAAGGAAAAGAAAAAATTAGAAAATACTTAAGCAGTCCGGTGTGCCTCCTTTGAGTTTCTTCTTTGACCCAGTCTTTCAAAATTCTATGGGCCGCCAGGGCTATCAGCGACTCTGTGGTGTTCCTGGGTCCTCAGTAGGAACCACTCAGATGAGCCTTCGTGAATTCATGGGATTGAGGAGGAAGTGAGAAGAGAGACCTTTATTCTCCACCAAATGTGTCCATTTCTCCAAAGAAACAATGATTTGGCATCTCGGTGATATCCTTATAGTCAGTATCACACGGGACCCTCCTCACCTCAGCAAAACATTTGTCTGCTCATCCAGTGTCTCCAGAATTGGGGTAATTACCTTATCCATCATCTACCCAAATTATAGCAGGAAAACCATTGTTAGCGTTTCCTTCCAGCGAAAGCCGGTGAGGGGAAGCTTAGGAACCGGCTTAACCTAAACTACAGTAAATGGCTGTCGGCTGCATTAGGTACCACTGGGAACGCAATCCAGTAGTCACAGAGCTCTCCAGGTTGTGTGATGGGACCAAATAGTGTGAGACACGTGGCTGGAGCTTGCTGATGGGCATGTCGAGGTTCTTGTCCTTGTCTCTACTTTTGCAGACTTTCGAAGTTTTCCATAATGAAATGCCATTAGTATTGAACCTACTAACAGTTAAAAACAGATAGATTCTGCTTCCTGAAGAGATCTTAATGTTCAGGCTTCCTCAGACTCTCCTGGATGGAACAGAACTTGTTCCTATTAATCCATTCCTTACTCATGATTTTACGCCTTAGCGCAGCCTGTGAAGTGCATGTAGGTGCATCCCATTTGGTGTCTGCTCTTCGGCACTAGAAGACAATCACCAGGAGGACAGGAACTGTGTCAATTTTGCATATCACTGCTACATAGAAGCCAAGAACAGAAACATTAGTTCAATAAATGTAGGTTTCCCGAAGGAGTGAAATGAATGCATGACCACTGAGTACTGGACTATCTTCATTCTTCTTTGTTTTGTTTTAGTTGCAGAATTAAGAAAAATCTTTGAACCAAAGAGGAAAGAACTTTTAGAAATGAAAAGGTAAGATATTTCTTGTACCTAATTAGAAAGTCGAAAAGCTTGGTGAACCAGTATTCCCTTTTCCCTTAGAATTGATTTCCGTGGCTCACTAGGCCCTTTTTGTTGTCTTGCACAGAAAAGAAAGAATCGCCAGGCGCCTAGAAGGAATTGAAACGGACACCCAGCCCATCCTCTTGCAGAGCTGCACGGGGTTAGTGACCCATCGCCTGCTGGAGGAAGACACGCCCAGATACATGCGAGCCACAGACCCGGCCAGCCCCCACACTGGTGAGCATGCCCACCTGGTGGCCTGTGATCAAGCAGGCTGCCCGAGATGTTCCACAGAGCCTTTTTTATGCAGTGCTATTGGAAAGTGAGATACTCTGCAAAGACGAATTGCGTAGATGTACTGATTAAATACACGCGCTTGTAAAAAGCTTCAGCCACATATGTCAGCTCTGTCCTGCCTCATAGATGTGGTCCTCTGGTGTCGCAGCAGTAAGAAATGATTCCCCTTGGCACACTGTTGGGTAATTGATGATGTCATTTTCCCCCTTGCCTGGGACCTGTAAAGGGCAGGAACTGTGTTTCCCTCTTGGTGTCCTCAGTGCCCTGGCACCAGACCTGTTGCCAGAGATCCTCAGTAAGAGTTTGTTGGAGGACTGAATGAGACACATTTTTACAGAATCCCCAGGTCCCCAGCACAGGGCCCGGCTGCTCGTGGCAGGTAGCATTAAAAGTAAACCTGGACCTTGAGTGGGTAGGGCTCTTAGTCTATGTGTTTATGCAACAAAAATTCTATTTAAATTATTGTAATACATGTAATTTTAATACATGTATTATAATACATGTAAATTTTAAATTCTATTTAAATGTAATACATGTAATACATGTAATTCTATTTAAATTATTATAATACATGTAATTGCATATTTATTTCCTGTTAAGCAGTATTTCAAACATAACCTACCTTTTTTTTTTTTTTTTTTTTTTTTTTTTTGATCACTGTCAATGTTTGAACATTGGCTATTCAACGTGGCCTTGGAAGAGGATGACCCACATGGGGCTGTTCGTCCCACCCCATCCCTGGCTCTGTGGCTCTATGCCCCTGCTGCTGCTTATAGCCATTGTTTCTTAGTTTCTTCCTCAGAGGGGCTGTTGCTCTCACTTCATGATGTGATCATTTCACTTGTCTAGAGTTCCTGAGCTTCTATGGCCAGAAAACTAGACAATTACGATTTTTTTAAAATTCCATGAAGAATCAAGACTAGACAGAGTACCAAAATTTATGGCCAGAAATGAACGCTAGTGTATATAAAATGTGAATCTATGTATTACCATGATAATTTAAGCTTCACATATTTGTGAGAAATGGAAGACTTACTTAATAAAATGGTACTGGGAAAATAGGTTATTGTGCAGTGGGAGAGGGGACATAGCCCTCTTCTCACTTATATAAAACACAAAAATAAGTGCCAATTAGTCATATGATTAATTTTAAGAAAGTAATTTAAAAACATGAAAACATAGGTGAATATTTAATTCAAACTGAATGAAAAAGGACTTTCAAAACACAGAAATAGCTGTGGAAATCACACATGACCAGGCCAATTGACTTGACTACATAACAATTCACATCTGTACTCCAAAGAAAATCTAAAAAATTAAACAAGTTTGAAATATTCATGAATAAGATTAAGGTTCATGGTCCTATAAAAGTGCACACAAACCAATAAAAAAGGACAGTAGGAATCAGTAAAATGTAGAGCAGTAAGCTTGATCAGATATTCCAGAGGAGAAAAAACAAATGGCTAATAAATAATTGGAAAATGCACATATTCTCTTTTTCTAGTAATCAAATGATATTTTGTAATTAACACTCAATGTTTATAAGAGAACATATATGGCAGATTCAAGTGCAAATTGATGCAAACTTTATAAAATTAATTTGACAGTCTAGCAAGTATCTTAAAATGATATACTTTTTTGATAATGCAGGTATATGTTTATGAATCTTGTCTGTTGTGATAGCAGTCAGAAAATCAGACTGATTAAAACTTAGAAACAACGTAAATGCCCAGGAATATGAGAAGGGTTATCTTAGTTATGGAATGCCTATTAGAATATTACGAAGCCTTAAAGAATGATGTCTCCAAAATAAGATTTCCAGATACAGGAAAATGTTTCAGACCAAACATTAATGGTATATAAAACATAAATTATTTGGGGCGCCTGGGTGGCGCAGTCGGTTAAGCGTCTGACTTCAGCCAGGTCACGATCTCGCGGTCCGTGAGTTCGAGCCCCGCGTCAGGCTCTGGGCTGATGGCTCAGAGCCTGGAGCCTGTTTCCGATTCTGCGTCTCCCTCTCTCTCTGCCCCTCCCCCATTCATGCTCTGTCTCTCTCTGTCCCAAAAATAAATAAACGTTGAAAAAAAATTAAAAAAAAACAAAAACAAAAAAACAAATTATTTTATATAGAAGGAAAGAAGAAGTCGATTTTCTAAAAGACAAGAAGGAATACATAGAAATATTTGGCAAATTATCAATTTATCATAATTACATATTAGTGATTATTGGTGATTTAGGATTTTACCTTCTTATGTTTTCATGTTAACATGCTAGACATTTTCTGTATGTGTGCAACAGTTGGAAAAATCCACTAGTGTTACACACACACACCCCCCCCAAGAACCTGGTACATATTGATAGTGCCCACTATTGTTCTGGTTACTGTCAGATCCTGTGAAACCACAGTCTGTCATTTGTTAAGTTACAGCAGATCAAGTATCTTTTCTAGAGGGCTCTGGCCTCACCCATAAAATGCTAAACTCAAAAACAGGAAGGTAAATAAGTAAGAGGCAGCAGGCTGGAGCGAGGGGCTGAGCCTTGGTGCGGGCGGGCGGCTTACCCCGCCAGGACGGCTCTGGCCTTCAGGTGTTTCACTGCAGACCCCGCACCTGTTGGGCAGCCCGGGTCGTCACCGTGGCTAGATACACCTGTGTGAGACGCGGGCCCTGCGCCGCGCGGGCGCTCAGGCGTGTGCTGTGTACTGAACAGCGTGCAGCCGGTGCGCGCCTGTGCTTGAACTCTGTCCGTGTTCCCCGTGTGGTCCCCTTGCAGGCCGGTCCAATGAAGAGGAAGACACTTCGGACTCCTCGGTGGAAAAGCAGACCCGCTCCAAACTCTACCCAGAAACGCCGGGCGTCCATGCTGACGCCTCCTGTGGTTCGGCTCTCATGGACGCCCCGGCTCTTGAGTCCAAAGCGGAGAGAATCGCGCGGTACAAAGCGGAGAGGAGGCGGCAGCTGGCCGAGAAGTACGGGCTAGCGCTGGATTCCGAAGCCGACTCGGAACCGCTGTCTCGATACACCAAGTCCCGCAAGGACGCTGATGCTGCCGACAGAAGGGGAGGGAAAGGCGACAGGCAGGCCGAGCCGGGCAAAGATTCGAGCTCCCTGTACTCCAGGCCCTGCGTGGCCGAGTCCAAGGACTATGCCCTCCACGGGAGTGACGGTCTTTCCGACACCGAGGTGCTGCTCAACGTGGAAAACCAAAGACGGGGGCAGGAGCCCAGCGCCCCCGCGCAGGCCCGCGACCTGGCCCCCACGGTTGACGGTTCCTCGTCCTTCCAGTTCTCCGGGCGAGACTGCACCGCCTTCAGTGACGTGCCAAGGTCCCCAAAGCAAATGCACGCAGTGCCACCCGCCTCCCCGAGCCACTCCGCCGGTGACCCTCCACTCCCCGCGGAGGCGCGAGCCAGGTAAGCGTTCAGCGCGCGCTCAGCAGCCTTAACATCTTTGCTTTGCACCCCCCTTTGTCAGGGTCTGGGTATTCTTGGCATTCTGTGGAGGGTTCAGCTGGTGGCAGAAATAAGGTGACATAAGAGTTTTTGTTTCCACAGTATCAAAACAGGTTCTGTCAAAGCAGGAAGCTTCAACTTCTTTTTAAAAATGATCAGCTCAACAGGTGTCTTGGGGACCCTTTCATGGGAGCCTCGCTTCAGGACCCTTCTTTTTACTGTTTCTTACATGCCTTTAATAATCGTCTGTTTCTTCATTTTTCTATAATTATACCCAAGACTCCTTGGTGATTGTGTCGCTGTCATTTAAGATCACAAAGCAGAAGGACCACCACTGACACAGTGGACGGGCCTCAGTTTAGGGTATGAAGTGTGACTGCAATATATACTGAATATAACTGGGACGTATAGCTATGCAATTACATCTGCGAGCTAAGAAGGAAGCTTTGTGGAAAAGCACCTCATTTCAAAGACCAGGCGTTAGGTGTAATCTGTAACGTGTACAAAGAGAGTAGCTCCCATTTGGGAAAATCAGAAAAGGTATAAGACCAGAAACTCAAATGCCAGAAGAAAATATGTGTTTCTAAATGTAAATGTAATTTAAATTTCTATTTATAAATGTAAATGTAATTTAAATTTCTATTTATAAATGTAATTTAAATTTCTAAATTTAGATGTAATTTAAATTTCTAAATTTAGATAAAATTTCTAAATTTAGATTAAATTTAAATTTTGGAGTCTAAATTAAATTTAAAATTTGAGATTTAAATATTTAAATAAAATTTAAAATGAGAGGTTTAAATAAAATTTAAATCTCTAAATTTAAATATTTAAATTTTCAAATTTTAAAATAAATTTAGATGTTTAAATTTAAATGCAATTTAGATATTTAAATTCAATACACGTGATGACCATATTTAAAATGCAATTTACTTAAACATCCTACTTTAAAGTTTGGGGTAATTGTCTGGGTCGACTCCTGAATGTGTTTTTCAGTCCAAATAAGCATTAGCTTCCCAGGTGAATTGAGGATTTGTGAGGATCAAGCAACTTTATTCTGGACAAGAAGAAAGAAAATGTATCGGGAAATACTCCTATTTATTTCACACTGGGACAGAGGAGTGAATGTGGTCCTCTTTAGTGGCAATCGTACATCTAAAACAGTTTGTTTTACTCATGGGAGTTTATTGAGCCAGACTTGTTCCTCCTCACTTGATCATGCACACCAAAATATTTAGAGATGTTAGCTTCTTAGAGAGTTAAATACCTAAATCCAGATACGAGGTTCTGAGGGCCTTTGTTCGGCCTTTGGACTTTTTGAAGTTTTGGGACTGTGACCTGTCGTCTCTTACTTTGAAATGAAAGTCTGTTGTTTGGGAAGCCTGCATTTCATAGTAGGAAAAGTGTTCTTGCCTTAGTCTCTATCAGAGCAAACTCTTCATGTGCTTCATGAGCAGGACAAAGAAACCTAACAGTCTCACTTAGAAAGGAAATTAGAGATTTACAATTACACGAGTTTTAAAAAGGTAGGAGCCTAATTGTTGATTGCCGTATTATGAAAACTTTAGGTTGTTAACACGGCATCCGGGTTAGTCATCTACATCACATATAATAGATCCTCCGTGAGTTCTTGAATCAGCTGTAATAATAACAAAAACTTGGTTAAGTGCTCCAGGTAAAAAGATAGGATACTTAATAATAGTTTTGAGTGAGTTAAAATCTTAATATTAAAAAATGTCCATAACGTGAAATATTTTTTTAAATTTTTTTAAGTGTTTATTTTTGAGACAGCGAGAGAGAGAGAGAGAGAGAGAGACAGAGTGCGAGCGAGGAAGGGGGGCAGAGAGAGAGAGTGAGACACAGAATCGGCAGCAGTCGCCAGGCTCAGAGCTATCAGCACAGCCAGATGCGGGGCTGGAACTCGTGAACCGTGAGATCATGACCTGAGCTAAAGTCGGATGCTTAATGGACTGAGCCACCCAGGCACCCCTATAATGTAAAATCTTAAGAGCTGTGTCTTTCTCAATTATTTGGAGAACCATTACTTGTAAGTTTCCATAAGCCTAGTCTCAGTCTCTCAACACTGGACTTTCACAAAGAGAGGATTAAAAGAATTAAATCGTAAAGGAATTCTTGAGGAGGCACGCGCTTTATTTATGTGTTTTTTAATTAAAAAAAAAGGTACTGCTTTATTTATGTATTTTTTTAATTAAAAAAAGGCACATGCTTTATTTTTTGCAGCCATTCAAGGCGTACAATTCTATGATTTATAGGCAGAGAAACAAATCATTTCATATATATTAGGAAAATACTGAGATTTATTTGCATTAAAAAGGATGGAACATAATGTGTGACAAGTATGCAATTAAAAAGTAAATTAAGATATATGATAAAATAAACAGTTTGGAGGTTCCTCAAAAAGTTATGATCCAGTAATTGCACTATTGGGTATTTAACCCAAAAAAGGTGAAAACACTAACTCAAAGGGATACATGCACCCCTATGTTTACAGCAGCATTATTTACAATAGCCAGATTATGAAAGCAGCCCAAGTGTCCACAGACAGATGAATGTGTAAAGAAGATGTGATACATATATAGTGGAATACCATTCAACCGTAAGAAAGAATGAAATCTTACCATTTGCAACAGCATGAATAGAGCTGGAGAGTATAATGCCAAGTGAAATAAGTCAGAGAAAACAAACACCATATGATTTGACTCATGGGGAATTTAAGAAACAAAACAAATGAGCAAAGGAAAAAAGAGAGAGAGAGAAACCAAGAAACAGACTCTTCACTGTAGAGAACAAACAGATGGTTGGGGAGGGGAGTGAGGGGTTGGGTGAAACAGGTGATGAGGATTAAAGAGTGAACATATCACGATGAGCACTGAGTAATGTTTGTAATTGATGAGTCACTATATTATATACTTGAAACTGATATAACACTGTATGTTAAAAAAGGATTTATTTTGTAATGAGTGCAGTAATTCATCTTGTAAAGATGGATTTAAATGGATTAATATTCTGCTTAGATGCTCTTTTTCTAGAGCCAGGAAATTCGGGTGTCAGAGAGCCATTGTCGTCTGATTTCCATTTGGGAGGAAGAAAGATAAAAAACACTTTGTGAATTATGACAATAACCAAAGAAATCTTGGTGACTTAACCATAAATGAAATGTCATCTGATATGGAAATATGCAACAGAAAGGTTTAAGGAGATTAAGGAGTGATCAAAAAAACTGTAGATAATGAAGTTATTTTATACCACATGTATTTGTGGATGTGTGCTAGCACTGAGATGGAATATTTTTCTCACTGCTGTACTATATGCTGTCACCACCCAGCTCTGCCAAGTATTTGGGCTGTTAATTTCTGAATTAACTCCTTCCCATTGCATCGTTTTATTTTGTGGTCACTAGAAGAGGCTGGTTTTTCTTCATTACTTAAATATGGAATACATCACTCATGAATATACCATCAGAGACTTGCTAAAAATTCAACTGTGAGCCAGACATCACATGCATGGCTTTCATATGTACCCATATACGCTAACACATATACACATAGAACAATCATTACTTCTTGTACCATTAAGAGCATTCTAAGCTCAATAACAGTCTTAAGGGCAATATTTAGCTGAGCAGTAAATTTTAACTGATTAGAATTATTTAATGTTCATTTGAGCATTTATATGATGAAGAAAATATGTACATTTGTCACAAAGTCTTTAGCTCAGAAATCCCGTTAACTGCCCGGGAGTTCAGGTACATACTTCATTCTGAAACAGATGGACAATATGTATATTAACAGAATAGAGCATAAGACACCTCTTTTTTAAATTTTTTTTAACATCTATTTATTTTTGAGAGAAAGAGCATGAGTGGGAGAGGGGCAGACACACACACACACACACACACACACACACACACACACACACACACACACACACACACACACAATCCGAAGCAGGCTCCAGGCTCTGAGCTGTCAGCACAGAACCCAACACGGGGCTCAAACTCACCAACAGTGGGATCGTAACCTGAGCCAAAGTCAGACGCTTACCCGACTGAGCTACCCACGCGCCCGGAGCATAAGACAGCTCTTAATCCCCATCTCCCAATCCCGACAAGCCCCTTATATTTAGAATTTCAGCATTGTGTTTTCTAGAGAGGTAGTTTTGCTGATATGAACCATTCTTTGTTAATTCAGCTATTATGAATGTTAATAAAATTCAAAGGGACCTGGGGCGTGTGGATTATTCAGTTTTAAAACTCTGAGCTCCTGCTACTAATAGAGATCCTGAATCCAGAATTCTTGCTGAATTTGCTACTTTTTGTACCTCTTACGTAATTAAAAAAGAAAGAAAACGTACCGTATTCGTTACGTCTGTGAGGGGAGAAAGTTAATTCCCAGGGCCCACACCTGCTCTTTGCCTGAGCGTCCACTGTGACTCCCTGTTGTCAGTGACCTGGGTGTTGGGCAAAGAAGAAAATTATACTGAATTTCCCAGTGGTGATCCACTCTAGAAAACCCTTTTTTATTTGTTTTCATGACTCCACTTCTATGCTGGCCAGTCCTTCTCCCACTAAGCAAATTGTATCATTAGCAAATGAACATGGTATGCAGAGGCATCACTGAAATTTGACCTGGGGAGGGCTGCCATTGGCTGATGGTCCTTTGGACAGGGCTCTGATGACACCAGACCTGTGGCTTGGCTCAGGAAGCTAGACCAGGGCACCCTCCGCAGTGTGCCTTTTCAGAGACATGGTGACAGGCAGACTCAGCCAACTGAGAAGGAAAGAGATTTAGGCTATGCTCTTGTAATTTATTTCTGATTGTATGTGCTCATCTCCCAGGGAGAGGTTCAGTCTAAAAATGGTCTTCAGAGCCTCAAGCTCATTGTTTTCCTTCTTACTTGTCTGTTAACCTGACCTGACAGAAAGATCTACAAGAGGGGGA